TGCTGAATTTCAGTATCGGAGGAGGCACAGACAGCGTCGACGTGGAGACATGCACAGTCTGCTGAGTAATACTCCAGACCCTGATGACCCCAGTGAGAGTACATTAGGTACGGAGCTCTCTGGGGCTGGTTCTTTCTCTTCCTGCTTCAGGAGTCGCTTGTAGAGACCACAGTGTTTGTTCTTCTGTGCATACACTTTAAGGAAGTTTCAGATACATGGCTGTATTTTCCAGGATACAAATAAAGGCTTGTCTCTGCAGGTTTTTTAATGTGATTTTGGAAGTGTTGTTGACTTCACTGTGGCTGCTGCTGTTCTGAAAGAGAAATGCATTGATCATCCCACTAAAAACTCCTCAGTTGTCCAGCACAGGTTTGCTTTTCTGAAGAAATTTTGAAGATCACTCGTGCATACACTAGGTCTTTTACACCAATGAAAAGAACCAGTTGTGCATAGAATGTAGAGGCTACAGGCCTGTGGAAGAGTATCCTAAGGCTGTATTCCAAAACTCTCCTCAGAAGCTGTATTAGCAAAGGCAGCCAGGAAAGAATTTGGCCTGAGCTGTGACTTCCAGCTGCTCTTCTGAGGGCTAGTAGTACAGTCCCTGAAGGTCTCTCTGTGGCTTGGCTGTCTGGGCTGGCTCAGTTCTGCCAGAACTTTAGCAAAGGTACAGAAATAGCTTGAATCCAAATCATGCTGTGATACTGTTTCTGCAGAGCTGCCAGTCTGTGTGCTCAGTCTCTTAGCCAGGCTGCACAAACTCTCACTGCTGTGTCTCAGGAACTTAATATATAGCTTGTTCTTTAAAACCAAAAGGAGGGATCTTTTATTGAGGAGAAAGGATCATGTGCATCTTTTATTTTAGAAAAAGTAATCAAAATTTTGGTGAACTTTGGTTCTTCCCCATTAATTAATTTTAATTTTAAAATTAATTTTAATTAAATAAAATGCAAAACTTGAATGTTAGTTCAAGGACTAGATTTTGACTGAATGCTTGGATATAGTAGCGATGGCCAAGTGCACAGTGTTAAAGCATGCAAGTGAACATTATTTTATTTCAGTCTCACATTTTGAGTTTTGGAGTGGAAAATTCCATTTTCCAAAGTCAAAAGATTTACATTTATTTTTATTGCAGAGCAGTTTTTTCTGGAAACCGCATCTTACTTCTATTTTTTTGTTGTTTTTAAGAAAACAGCAATGTCAGTAATTGCTGAAGTATTCACTAACAACTCTACTCTTAATTGTGCTGCAATGTTACAGTAAAAGCTATTATAATGTTAACATTACAGCAGAGTTTTTGTCTTTGAAAGAACAGAGAAATGGGCAAACTTGATTTGTAATCCACCTGTAAATGCATCCTGTATTTTTGTCCACATGCAGTCATTTTCAGGGCTTTCCATAAATCATGTATGTGCCTTAGAATCACTTTGCCCCTTCTGCCCGTGCTCCCAATGGCATAGCCATGTTTCCACAGAGAAGGGTATTGAGGGCAGGACGGACAAATGAGCCAGGCAGTCATTCCTAAAACAGTGGGATTGATGTTTCACCACTGTGTGAGAGCTGATGTGGAAGGAGTGGTTTGGATTCTTTTATTCAGAGTGAATAAAGGAGTAAAATTACACAACTAGAATCCAAAAGGAAGGAAGAGATTCTGTCAGTAAATCACAATGGAGGAGGCTTTCTCGCTGGTTCTTCAACCGCTTTTGTTTTGATTGCCCAAACAGACACTCAGGAAGGTGGCAGCAGTAGAAGACATGGCACCTCCATGGTGAGTTCAGCTTCTATGGGTATTCTGCACAGCTCTTCGCTTCATGACTATACCCCTGTCAGTCGCTCTGAAAACCAGGATTCTCTTCAGGTATCTCCCCTAATCTCTTTTCCATTCTCTCTGCTTTGCTTGCTCTCTGCTCTGCCTTTCTGTGTCATTTTGTCTCTGCAAATTTTCTTAATTCTTCAAGGAGAAAGGGAGAATCTAGGACAACAAATTACACATTCGCAATGGTAAGAATTGCTAAACAATCACTGACATTACAAGAGTTACTTTTTCAATCATGTTGTTAGCTCTGTTGGTGAAAAGTGATTCTGACAAAGGACATGTAGGAATAATGAATGAATTTCAGATTTGAGCCAAAATAACTTTTCATCCAAAATGTGTAACAAGATGCAAGTTTTATTCTGAGAGCAACCTTATGTATTTCCACAGGCTCTGAGTTCTCTGGATGAAGATGACCCAAACATCCTGCTAGCTATTCAGCTCTCATTACAAGAATCTGGCTTGGCCATAGATGAAGAAACTAGAGACTTTCTAAGTAATGAGGCATCTTTAGGAGCAATAGGTACCTCTTTGCCTACAAGACTGGACTCTGCTCCCATAAGTATAGACAACCCAAGGGGTGCTTTGAGCAGCTCTGAGCTGCTAGAACTTGGTGACAGTCTGATGAGACTGGGTACAGGCAATGATCCCTTCTCAGCTGATCGTCTTCATTCCCACCCCTGCAGCGAGACAAGAAGTGGATTATACTCGACATCAAGCGATGCTGAATCCAGCAGTCAAGATCCCAATACCAATGAAAATCTGCTTGGAAATATTATGGCCTGGTTTCATGACATGAACCCACAGAGTATTGCTCTGATCCCCTCAACAAGTACAGAAACAGATGAGGAGTCACAGCATCCCAGTACTGAAGATGGGTCAGCAGGGCAACCAAATCTTACAGACACAGGGCTGGAGCCTCAGGAAGAGCATGCACTGTTTGAGGATGCACTCAAAAATGAAGGCAGAGGAACCCAAACAGAGGAAAGCACTTCTGAAGAAAACATTATTCCAAGTGAAACAGTATCACAAATTGGTGATAATAACAGGGAGGTAACAGGCACCCTAGATGCTTCAGGAGATAGTTCAAGTCAGACTCCTCAAACCTCAAGTGAATGGACTGAACATGTGCATTTGGTATGAATACAAAGTAAATCTGGAGTAAAAGAATGGTGGTGGCAGATGGTACAGTATGTGGAGTAAGCATTATGGAGGCTTTGATCCACATAATTGCAACTCAGTTGTAACCACTGACATACCAACGGATATTTAGGAGTTCTCTTGAATTGTAGTTCTTCATAATAATGTGAACCTTTCAAGGAATATCCTTTGCATTTGATTAGGTAGTATTTGCCTTTTTGCTCTCAAGAGAAAGGAATAAGTAGGTTGTATTCCACATTCCTAATACAATGCAGCATCTGTTTAGCCTTAGGTTGATGATCCTTAACTTGAAAGTATGGATTAAAGGCTTACACTGATTATTTTGGTTGGTTTTCCTAAGAAATAGTTTATTCCATTTTTTAGAACTCATAATTTCACCAAAATAACATCTAGCAGCTCATTTGCATTTTGGTTTTGTTTTCCACAACTTTTCCTTACTCGTTTCATTTTTGTTAGCAGTGTGAACGGAGGTATTTAATGCTTCTCTGTAGTACTGCTCCAGGAACAAGTTTTAGGGGATATTCTTTCCCTTTAAAATCAAAGATTTTTTCATGTCTATTTACAGTCCAAATGTGCCAAACTGTGAAAAGTTAACTGGCAGTAGCCTAATGAAACAGTGCAGTGTTACTCTATCCAACTAATCCCACAATTCTTAGCAGTGAAAGAAACCACTGGGTAGCATTGCTTCTCTAAATTTAACTGGCGTATGTTGCCATGGTGACTGCATTTAATTAAATGTAGCCTGTATCTTAAGTTAATAAAACCTAATGCTGCTGTTAAACAGTTATTTTAAATATTAAAATACAGTGAGTTAGCAACAGCTATGCTGTATTTTGAGACACTTTAATGGAAGTGCAATCATAGTTCTTTGTTTTCATAATTCTACGAAGCATTTTATGCACTAATAGTGCAATTACTTTTAATGATAACATTTTATAAAAATATAGGAATACAGAATTTTCATATATTAGCCAGTCCCACACTTAAAAGTTCAGATAACACATCCTGCTCAACATGTTACGGTGCCTTTGCCTAACCCAACTGGATAGTTGCCACAGTTAAACAAGTAATTCAAATTCAGTGTTTGTTCTGGAGTAACTATGCTATTAATTGCAAAGACCTCCATAAAACCACCCATGGCCTTGCCTTTACAGTAAATAACTAAACGTTCAGTCAGTGTTTTTGCATATACAAAACACTACTAGGTATTTGTTCAATTGCACAATATTCATTTGCTGTGTGATTACTGTTTAGTGTAAGAAAAAAAAATTTAAAAAGAAAAAAAAAACAAACCACAAAAAAACCTTTTCCTAGTTGTTGTACCGTGAAAAACAAAAATACTGGTTTTAGATTTGCTTAAAAGCATCGATCTACAGTTAGTGAGATACAATGGTACAGTATGTAATTACAACTAGAATAAGTTGTTCAAATGGCTGTTTTAATTACATATAATCAAAACTTTTCATAACATGAGCAAATTACATACACTCCATTTTAAGTTTTGCTTAACTGTTACCAGAGATTTGTTGATATGATATAAAAGTTTATTACTACTGAGTGTGTATAGGCAAGTGTCATGATAGCAAAGTTTATGTATTGATTACTGTGAGTTTAAGTGAATGTTTTGGTAACTAATTCATGCAAATCCAGCTTTGGAACCTTGCAGTTACAAGGTTCATATTAGTAAAAAATGAAATAAGAATATTTTACCCTCACCCCATAAAAACCTTGTCCATTTTCAAGCATCTTTAGAGAGACTAAATTAGAATAGTCTAAATAATTTTCCAACTTTTCCTCTAGCCACCCTACTCCTGACAAAATATTGAGCCTTTGAAAAATATCTATAGGTATAAAGTCCTTCAACTAAAACGGTCCTTCATGAACTGTCATCATGAACTGGTCTGAAAGTTGTTTAACTCACATAGCTTCCTTGAATGGTAATTTCTGAATAGAAAGATTCTCACAAAAAGATTGTGTATTGCATTGAGATGTCTTGCAAAGTTGCAGTAAGATATGTAAGAGTGCTCTCTGTGAAGATAGTGAAGTTTGTGGGTTCTGGTTTTATGTAATTTGGTTAGGTTGTGCAGTATATCCATTGTTTCCGTGTTACTCTTATGAGCATGAAATTAGACTATTAAATTTGTATTTTCTTGGTACTTATTTTAACACCATAGTCATTGACTTTACAATTCAAAAATAAAAGTTTGGCAAGACTATTTTGTAAACCTGTTAATTTTATAATGTAAAAAAAATTACTCTAACCTTGAATTGTTATTTGCACTTTCATAGTCTATACTTGATACATTCCCACTTTATATACAAGTAGGATACTACAACCATGTAGATGTTTGGCCAAATGAATGCTGTTAATAATATGTAAAATTCTTTGATTAAACATTTATTACTTAAACTAATTCCGTTCTGTCTCATTACATCTTAGGGTTTATGTAGCAGATCCTTGAGACTGCTGATGGACATTTTCAGGGTATGTTCGGTACTGTGCCAGATTAGTTGGACACCATGTAGTAAGCTGAATGTTTTCATTTGTAAATATAAGGTACCATCATTAAGCTTTGAAAAAAATCGAAAATAGAATTTGTCTTAATTGCTACAGCCATACTGTGCATGGGTTCTTTGTAGAGTAATGCCTTATCACTACAAATAGTGGTGCTAAAGAGGAGGGACTAATTTTTGAGAATGATTCTGTTAATTAGTGTTACTTAGGTGCCACTTAATATCCACTCTTCATTGTTACCAGGAAATTCCAGAGTGTCTTTGTTACATTAATAGCATTAAACTATTTTGTTCATTGTTACAGTAATATCAACTTCCTCCACCAAGCATGCCAAGATCATGGAATCACAGACTGGTTTGGGTTGGAAGGGACCTAACGACCATGTTCTTCCAATCCCCCTTCCATGCACAGGGACACCTTTCACTAGACCAAGATGCTCAGAGCTCCATCCCACCCAGCCTCCAACACTTCCAGTGATGGAGCATTCCCAACTTCTCTGGGCAATCTGTTCCAGTGCCTCGGCACCCTCACAGAAGGCATGCTACTGTAATCCTCAGGGAGGCTGGTGAGAATGGAAACCAAAACATGGACACAATGATAGTCAGTTTCTTTACAAGCAATTGTCTGGCTCAAGAGACAGCTTTAACATGCCTTGAAAGAACCAAGTACTCGTGGTCAGTTTATGTCATCTGTGCCATTACTTTACCTACCCATGTCCCTCAAGAGGGCCAAAACCCAAAGGCCTCACAAAATCCAGGGTGAATTCTTGGCTCTACTATAAGTTTGAATGATTAAGAGTAAGAGCCAAAAGCTGCAAAGACAGATGCGTATTACTTATGCAAGTAATAACTGTGCAACACATCTCAAAAATAGCATCAGTTGTGGCTCTGGGAATTAAGGGAATACAAGCTGCTTTTCTCACAAGAGAGCTATTAGGTACAGAACCTTAGAAGATAACCATATGGAAATGCAGAGTGCACCAGTCCATGAGCTTTATACCAAATTTCATGCATTTACAATACAAGTATTTCTGGAGATGCACTCTGTGTGCATCCTCTGCAGCTGACTGTGGAACAGTGACACACACATAATAAGAATAAAGGATTCTTCAGCTGTGAGCCAGCTGACTGTAGGATAGCAGCAAGAAGCTAGGAGGAAGCAATGCAATTAAATCCATTGCAGAACAATTCATCTACTGAAGCAGGAAATGAGCAGTGTGTGGGGATGTGCATCACTTTTAATAAAAACCACTCTCACCAAGAGCTCCCAAGAAGAAACAGTTCTGTACTGACAGCCAGTGTGTCTCTAACATAGTTCCCCTCCACAGGTGGAGCCAACATTTTATTTCCTCCACTTCTTTATGGAGACTGCATTGGAAGTTTCACTGAGCAGGGATGGGCTCTGATGACTTCAAAGGGCAACCCTTTCTCTTATTGCGGTAAAAATAAACTGAAAATACACTTTAATTGGAAGAAAACATTTACTCTGCAACTTTAGCTGAGCTTACACAGCGCAAAATGCCTCAGCTGCATCAGCCACTTCCAGCCAGGCCTCAGACTGAGGCAACCCACTCTAGCCCCAAAGAGAAGCTAGTTAAAGACAATCAGGAAACTGAAGAGGATGCTCAAAATTTGGGATCATTTTAAGGCTTGGGATCCTGTGGAGAGAGGGGTATTTTAGGAAGTCCAGAGCCCCACCTCTCCTTCTACCCCTAACTACCAGCTAGTCAGCAACTCTCAGAACATTTCAGCTATTGCCTAAGATAAAAGACATGCTGGGTATCATTTCTGACAAAACATCATAACCACTGTTTGTGTCACTTTCCAGGTGAGGTAGGGATGATCAGACACCACTGACAGCAATCCCTGCCTCTCTGGTCTGACACAAGGCCAACAGAGTAATATTACCAAGAACACTGAAATCTCAGAATGTTGTTTTACTGTGGTTCCATTGAAATGACAACCACATTTTTCAAGAAATACTGATTTAAAACTTTTTGACAACAAAGAAACGGTTCTTTAAACCATTTTTGAATTATCTTAAACTATCACTTCAGATTAGGTTTCTTAAAGCTTGAGCTTTATTGATTTGGGGTTTTTTAAATTCAAGTTATTACTTAAAAACAGAAAGAATAATCACGGTGAATGAAGTCATTAAAAATACGCAGTAGAATATTTAATTAAGAGTATACATATATATGTAAACCACATACATTCTGCATTTGTGACAAAAAAGACCGTGCACATGGTTTCAGAAAGACCAAGGGATTAGAAGCCAGGAAGATTGCAGAACTGGAGTTGAAAAAAAACAACTACTGCCATTTTTATTTGCTATCCATTAGCAATAAATCTTATAAAAATTCACTAGATAAAAACCTTCACAAAGTATTAGATATTTATCTGGACAGAAATGGACACTGTCATTCATGTCACACAGACTAGTGAAGCTATGTCAATGTGATGGCAGTGAGAGGGGCCCAGCAGTGGAGGATTGCTGAGGTGGGTGGTTGGGAACAAAAGCAGGCAGAAGCTACAAAAAAAAAAACTGGTGGGAAGAGCTTAAGGGCTCTGAGAGATCACTGATCTCCAAAATACAACTACAGAGAGATGCATTAAAGAAACAGAAAACAAAAAATCTGCACCTGATAAGTATAAACAGCTTGAAAAGAAGGTAAATCAGGATTTAAATCAAAATTGAAAAATAAATTCGGCACCTGAGACAAGGAAGTCAAAGTTGGTGTGAAAGAGGCATGCAAGAGGTTAAATATAACTGTCCATGAGCCGGTACCAACCCAGGCAGACCCTGCATCCACTGCACGCTGCATGAGGGGAGCATCTGTTAACAGATCCCTGCAAATTATGGCTATTTGTGTCCACTAAGGACAAGACAAAAATCAATTTCATTCGCACCAAAGAAGCTTTAAATAAACCCTAAGGATGGAAACTGAGTATGAGAACTAAGAGACTACAAAACCTCATGCATGACAGGGCATTTCTTTCGGAACATCTGACTAGAAAAACATCTGTGTGAGATGGCCAGGGGCCATGTGAGTGGCAGCAGGTGAGGAACCACTGTTAGGCTGGTTCTCCTACATTTGGCTCTCAAAGCTTCACAAAGGCACATGTTCATTCCCTGGCCGTGATACGTGACTGAGGTTCCATGCAAGAGTGGCATAGAATCATAGAGTGGTTTGTGTTTGTAGGGGACCTTGAAGATCATCTAGTTCTAACCACCCATGCCACAAGCAGGATCACCTTACATTAGACCAGATTGTTCAGAGCGCCACACAACCTGACCTTGAACACTTCCAAGGATGGGGCATCCACAGTTTCTCTGGACAGCCTGTTCCAGTGCCTCATCACCTTCAAAGCAGAGGATTTTTTCCAAATATTTAATCTAAATGAAGTCAAAAACTGGCATATGTTGAGGTCAAGATCCACCAACACTTTATCCTGAATCAGGACAATCATTGCAGTCCATCTCCTGTCCCCTGATTTTCTGTTGAGCCGCAGGAATGACAGCCATAAACCCTTGAATGACAGCATCTGGCACACCCTGCAAACAGGAACGGAACCAGAGATGGTTTCTGCTTCACAGAATCACAGAATGTTAAGGTTAAAGATCATTAGTCCCAACCCCCTGCCATGAGCAGGGACACCTCCCACTAGACCAGGTTGCTCAAAGCCTTATCCAGCACGGTTTTGAACACTGCCAGGGCTGGGGCATCAACGGCCTCCCTGGGCAACCTGTTTCAGTATCTCACCACATTAACAGTAGAGAATTTCTTCCTAATATCTAATCTAAATACTCCGTCTTTCAATTTGTACCCATTCCCCCCAGTTGTCTCACTGCAGTTCCTGATGAAGAGTCCCTCTCTGGGTTCCCTGTAGGCCCCTTCAGATAACTGGAAGGTGCTGCGAGGTCTCCCCACGACCTTCTTCAGGCTGACCAGCCATAACTGCACCCACCGGGCCTTCCCCCTGCCCGGTTCCGTCCCTCGCCGGCACTGACGGGACACCGCTCTCTGCGCCACGGCTCCGGCCGAGGCGACAGCAGCCCCTGGGAGGGCCGGGGCCCCTTTGGCTCCGGGGCCCCTTTGGCTCCGGGGCCCCTTTGGCTCCGGGGCACGGCCGCCGCCAGCNCGGAGGGGGGAAGCAGGTGAGGAGGCCGAGGGCGAGGGTGATGGAGCCGCCGGGGCCGGGCGGGGCTGGGGTCGGGGTGTTCGGTCCGTCCCCCTTGTATTCATCCCGCTGTTCCCCACAGAGCAAGCAGGAGATCCACCGCCGCTCCGCGCGGCTCAGGAACACCAAGTACAAGTCTGCACCCGCCGCGGAGAAGAAGGTTTCCACGAAGGGCAAGGGCAGGAGGCACATCTTCAAGCTCAAAAACGTAAGGCGGTGCGTGGCAGAGCGCCGGGGCCGCGGGTGGGTCCGGAGCCTGTGCCGGGCTGGGGCGGGCACGGAGCCCGCGGGAGGAGTGGGAAGAGAAACCGGTCATGGGAGTTCTGCACTCGCTTCTCCACATAAAATCCTGGAGATGAAAATGTTAGCTGTGTAGCTTTGAGCTTTAAAGTAATAATGTTTGCTAGTTTTCTTAGAAGATAATGTATCTCTATGTTGTCTAAAATGAAAAAAACAATTTCTGGAACTTTATGGTTGGTTTGTTTTAATGCTCTTGATTTTCTATTTCTGTGCTCTTTTCTTAGCCCATCAAGGCTCCTGAGTCCGTATCCACTATAATTACAGCAGAATCAATCTTTTATAAGGTATGGCTTATACAAATCTATTTGTAAAAATTATTATCCTGTTTCTATTTCCAATTTCAATAATTATCATGGACAGTGAAAGCAGTAGGGATATAGTCACAGAAACTGTTCTTCCTTGCCTAACAATTGTGTAGGATTTTGGTTTGCCATAGTTATTGCTATTAAGTCTTGCCAGGTAGTTTACCTGAGTAGTTTAAATAGTTATCATTGTCCCAGGTTTCTCTCTTCCAGGAAAAAATACTTTTTTTTTTTTTTTTTTTTTTTTTTTTTTTGTAGTTATTGCTGTCAGCATTTTTAAACTTAACTTGCACTGTTCAGAGGTCAAGTGACTGCAGATGATTATTTAGATTTGTGTGATATTTCCTACCTTAGGTGTAGAACATATTTCCCATAGAAGGGGTGGGTTGCAATGCCCCAGCATGTCAGCTGGCTCCCATTTGAGAGCTGGTGCAAGCAGTCTCAAACATCCTGGGAGATCTGTTGGCACCTGCAGTGAAGCGGGAGGGAACTTTCTCACATTCATGCTTGAAAGCAGCTTTACCAGCATGCCAAGGTGTTGGTGTTCTAAAGTTCTGAATTAGCTTTTGTTTCCCAGCAGTACAAGCAAAGAGAATGTTTTTTCCCCTTTTTCCTCCCCAGAAAAGTCAGGATAAGGCAGTGGGAGACTGCACAGCCAGTGGTGGCCTGAGATTCCATGTACGCTCCAGGGATGCTTCATGCCTGGCATTCCAGATGAATTTCTTGATTGCTGTTGACCAGTTCAGAAAAGAATTACTGTCTCATGTGTTTGTTTTTATCAGAAATTCCTAAGAATTATATCAAAACTTCTATCTAACCTCCTTATGTAAAATAAGGATATCAAAATACTTTGATACCTTGCAGTGTTGTGAATAGGATTGTTTGGGATTTTTTGTATTCTTTTTATCTGTTTTAAGAACAAACACCTTTCTTTCTTATGCCACCATTCTCTTGAATGTAGCTGAATTGAAGCTGCCTTTCAAGACTGGCATAATTTGGGATAATTGAGGGTACTGATCCTTAAGATATGAATCAGAATGTGAAGTGAAGCTGACAAAATCAGGTTGTTTGATTTCAGTGTCATTTGTATGTCTTCTAGGGTGTATACTACCAAATTGGAGATGTTGTTTCTGTGGTTGATGAGCAGGATGGAAGAACATACTACGCTCAAATCCGCGGGTTTATTCAGGACCAATACTGTGAAAAGAGTGCTGCACTAACCTGGCTCATTCCTACACAAGCCAGTCCCAAAGACTGTTTTGACCCAGCATCCTATATCATAGGTAATCTCTAAGCCTTCACTTCATACAAGTACTTGGATGTGCCAATGCTAATGCAGAGTTGTATTTTTAAAATGAACATTTTAGCTTCTCAAGGTATTTTATACAAGTTCCACATTTTAGACTCTAATCTTGTAAACATCTCATTTACTGTAATAACACTTTCTATTTATCTTGTACACATAATATGATTACCACTATTGCAGTGTGTGATTATCTCATACTGTTATTATCTGAGTGTTTGTGGGGACAATTACAGCTGTGCAGCTTTAAAGATCAAATTATTACTCTATAGATAGGTTTAAACCATAATAACTTTGATTCTGATATACCAGTCCAAGTTGTTTCTTCTAAAGAATTACTTGATCTTTATCCTGGGTATTCAAAATACATAGCATGCAAGCACTGGAATAGAGACTATTCTGCTACTGATGATAAAATTAGTAATTCAGAAAAGTCCTTCTAACAGGAAGGACACAAAAAATAATGTATTTTAAATATATGAACTACAGTACTTCACTCAAATACCAGAATGCTTCAAATGAGATGAGGGGGAAGATCAGCTCAGCAAAATTAAAGGTAGAGGTTTCTTGCCTAACACAGGAGGCTTCCTTGGGAGCCATGGTCATGGATTGGAATGACAGTTCTGTAAGGGAATGTTGGCTGTTGTGGCATATTTTATTCAACATAATTAAATTTATGCCTTTAAGTTTTGTCTTTGAAGATTATTTTTTTTTCCCTAGGACCAGAAGAAGATCTCCCAAGGAAAATGGAATATTTAGAATTTGTTTGTCATGCACCTTCGGAATATTTCAAATCTCGATCATCTCCCTTCCCTACTGTTCCTACAAGGCCAGAGAAGGGCTATATATGGACTCATGTGGGACCTACTCCTGCAATCTCCATTAAAGAAACTGTAGCAAATCATTTATAATTTTTTTAAGGACTGTTTTGCACTAGTTATTTTGGGTGTATCCTCCAGTTTGTAAACCCTGTACAAGAAGTCTTAAAAATTATAAAATGTGCTGGTTTACTTTACAGATTATGGTATTTATTAACTTTAGATACATCAGATCTTTGAAGTGGAACTTTTCATTTCAGTGCTCTATTCTTCAGACATTATTGCTCATCTTGGGACAAAACCACAAGTTTCATGTTGTCTTTGACTTCTGAAAATTTCCTGTAGTGTTCATTCTTACTTTTTAAGTTATTTTCCAAAAGAAGTATTTAAAAGACATAGTCATCCAGCATTTTATATAAATGTTTAATTTAATTAACTGTGACTGCTGCTTTTGTTTCCTTGTTAAATAATTTAAGACTAGCTTCACCTAAATTACTAAAATGGTCAGTGATGCAAGTTAACAGTTTTCTTTTACATGGAGAGGAATGATCTCCCTGGATTTCTCCAGACTAAAACCTCAAACACAAAGAGGGACTCTAACAGTCACCTTTTAAAGGAATTTTGTTCATCTGAATCTCAAATGTAGGCCTATGTGTGTAGATTTCTGCTAAACTTACTTATATAAGGGCATAAACTTCCTGGAAAATTGGATGTAAATTCAAAAAATAATGTTATTTGCCATCCTGGCATCTTCATGGCAGAAGTGTATCTGCATTTCCTGAGCAAACCAATTTTGACATACAATTTGAGTTTTAGATTGTTGGTATTTGTTAGCTTGGACTCATAAAATTTATTTTAAATTCTTTTTTCAGTCTTCACAATTAATGATGGTAATTAAAAAAAAAGGTCAGGCAATTGAAATGAAAAAAAAAAATTGGTAAGGGAAATAAAAACTAATTTTGTGTAGTGACAGTCTCAGGATAACAAGGAAAATGTTTAAATAGCAGAATGGGAAAAATGCTACATACTAAAATACCAATGAAGTTTTCTGCCCAAAACTTTTTACAAGCCAGTCAGCTCCAAACACGATGAGATGTGCTTGTATGGCCTGGATTCCAAGGGTTTAGTGGTTCCTGCTGCCTGTGAAGGATAACAGCTGTAAGTGGCCTTAAATATAAATGTACTGATCTTTTCTGTTTTGGTTTTTTTTCCTTCATATGACCATATGTGACTACCACCCAGAAGGCCAAAATCACCTTTAAGACATTGTATAAAAGCATAAAAATATTGCATTAGGTTTATGTTCTAACTTTATAAAAGGCTTTGATTGATGAAACATGTTTGAAAGTCTCAGGTATTGACAACTTTTAATACAATGGGACCTGTGAAGGCAGGAACCAGATACATTTGTTTCAGCCTGCAGCCTCTGTTCTACCCTCTTCAAATACAAGGAAGAACAGTCAGCCGTAAGGGAATAGATGCGAAAGGGATACATACTGTCAATAATTCAGAATGTTCAGAAGTTAGCAATATATTGTTAAGATTTTAAATCTTAATCCTCAGTTGTTTACAAAGATATGTGCCCATGTTCAGTGTCTTGCAGTAATTAATCCTGAAATGACCTCACTTCTCTCCATTCTTTGCTTTCAATTCCTCTGGATTTTTTTTTTTATTTATTTATTAACAACAACAACAACAAAAAAAATAAAAATAACAAGTCTTGTATTTACAGTAGCCAGAGTGACTCCCTTGACTCAAATGTTTTCCTTCCTTTCTCTGCAGTCCACAAGGATTTTCTTGGGATCACTGTAAAGTCCCTGTGCTGCCTGAGCATAATCCATGGACCTGTCCTCTTCTGTGGGCTGTCTTACCTTACCTGAATTATCAGGGTTGGAAAAAACCTGGATGGTCATTGAGTCCCATGAAGCCCAGCTGCTTTCCTTCTCAAATCCTCATAGGAATGAGGAAAACAGTGCTTACATTGTTTTGTTTTTTTGAGTTCCTACAAGGTACACCAATGAAAAGTACTATTTGCCATTTGCCTAATTTGTCAATGGTATTGTTTTAGTCAATAAAATGTAATATAAAAAGGACAGTTCATTTTTCATCAGAATACACCTTTCTAAAATTCAGTGCTGCTGGTGACTAAAGTATTATACTTCTAACTGCAGTCTAAACAGACAAGAATAGCTTTTTTTTCAGAGAGCTATGGAACAACTTCCTTTAGTAAACACTAAGTATTTTGATTTTAGTTTTTATTATACTGGAAAATGTTAAAAAATAATTCAAATGATCAAGAATTCTGATTGTAAGGTCTCAAAAGAGAGTGAATATGCAGGCAATGACTGTTACTAAAGTGTTGCAACTTCATTTATAGGTATTTGATTTATTGCACTGTCCTGTCACCCAGTAACACAGGGAAAATGATTGACTCTCCAGACAGCTTCTTATGGATGGCCATAGCTGAAGAGTGGGACCTCTGAGAGCAATGTCTCTTAAAATTCCTTGTCTCTCTCATATTAGGAAAATGGAGGACAAAAGGAAGACCTGCAAAATGGACTCACAGCAGAAGTGGTATCAGAGGATCCTGTGGGTACAGGCTTTGATGCCCTGCAGCTGAGGGAGCTGAGTTCACCCATTTCTGTCTTCTAGCTCGGTAATCCCCCATGCCAAAATGTAGGTAGGTTCATGTTGGCATCACTGGACTGTGAGTGGATACACTGCTACTGAGTTTATGGCCTTGCATTGAGCTCCAGAGTTTTGTGACCAGCCAACAGTAATTTTCATCAAGGCATTTTAGTTCTACAGATGGAACTTGTAGTCAAGAGCTAAAAGCCACAGAGCACCAATAAAATACTCCTATTATAAAATAAAATATAATTATATATATTTATATATATACATATATTATACCATATAGACATGTGGTCTGTGTCCTGAGGCTCACATTGCAGGAAATCTGTAGCCCTTAACTTTCATGTGAACATTACTGTACTGAAACAAGACATACTGGAGAAGAGTTTCTGTTTGGGCAATGGCTTTGTTGGACAGAATACTTTTTGGAAAAATGTGATGCAAACACAATGGATAAATAAGCATGTGGCTCCTTGGGCTCCTAAAATGAGTCTGGGATTCCTTTCTTGCTGCTGTGCTGTGCTACGTGGCAGTCATCTTGGTCATCCTGGCAGAGGCTGGATGAGGTCCCTACAGCTTGGTATCCAAGCCAATCCAATTTACTTTCATGTACTGCAGCCTTCCATTTTGAAATTATTATTACACAAGAAGCAAAGAGTATGTTTCTTGTGGTTGGTGGTATATTGTGTATTATGATTAATAAAGGCCTTAAATAGTCCTACAGAATTAAGAACAAAAATAATGGGTGTAGTATTGAAGTTTCAATTCCTCTTTACAATTACTGAATTAGAATGATGAATTATAATTTTATTCTATTTTCACATGGATAGAATTGGTACATTCATTAAATAGGAAACTACATTCCTCCAAAATTACGGAAGGTAAGCATTATGTGCCCAGGCAGAAATACTTTTACAATAGCTGGTAGCTGTTAATAGTTCTTTTTTGTGTGCTCCCCATTACAGAATTTCATGATCACTGACACCAGAATTTTGTATTTGGCAATTGTTTCTCTTTCACCCACATAGTCACGCTTACCTTCAGGAATACTACTTTTTTTTTTACTCAGCCCTTCTAGAATTTGGCTTACAGCTTCAATGAGATTCTTTTTCTTTTCTAGTTTGGTAGCTTCAATCACAAGAACAACTTCATGGACAGCATCTCCAGGTTGTTCGTGCATCTTTATGAAATGCTTAAATCTCCAGGTTGTTCGTGCATCTTTATGAAATGCTTAAGTGCTTGAATATCTATTTAGTCAAACACAAGTATTACTGGAATCTAGTTTTGATAGAAAGGTTGATTTAACCTAAAAATATCAAGATTATCCTGTGCAGGGTATTTAGAACAGTTAACCCAGCCACCTGCTTATGTATGGTAATTTGGGCTTCTGCAACATCTTTTGAACTCCTTCATTTAGGGAGAAGAGCAAAGCAGGATTGTCTCTTTTCTCATGAAGCTGTCTAGAGGCAAAGTTGCTTTCAGTAGTTCCACCTGTCTTCCTACACTCCATCAGTGTCCATGGGCACTTCTTTGCTGAAGACCAGAACCACCTCTGCCTTCGTCAGTGTAAAGTACCCTGTTGTAAACTGGCTCTGTCAACTGATCCAGGTTCAAAACATACACATGATACTTTTAACACAAATCTTCCATTAGGGGACCTCAGTAGGAATGTTTATTTTTGTCTTCAGATGGTCAAACCCTTGATAATCCTTTTCAGTGTATGTAGAATCCTACACAGTTGATGCTCCCTGTCTTTCCGAGTATGTTTCTTCTGTGTAAAATTACACTGTAAGGCTGCTTGTGGTAGTAAATCTGAATTATGTAATCAGAATTTGGGAACCTCTTCTCTCCCAAGTCTAGATTTCAGGAGGTCATTAATAATTAAAGCAAAGAGAAACCTGTCCTTTTAATCCGTGTGCCCTTCTCAAGAACCTATTTCCCAAATTGTGGGAATCCACATACAGAATTTTCCAGTTACCATTCCTTAAGGAATTCCTTGGAGCATTCTTAGGACTCTTTTTCTAAACTGTGTCATTACAGACCACTGCTAGGCAAGGTAAAAGACTTGCCTCTTCTTTATTAGAAGCTGATTGCGAGCTGTGGAGGAAGTGGAAGTAGCTTTGGCATTTATTGTTGGCCAAAACAAAACCAAAAGCAACCAGTTCATGCCAGCAGAGTTTGCAGAGGCTGACTATGGCTTAATTGCTCCCTTGAATGAGGTAAGTGGAAATGATATGTTGAAACTTAACTTACCCGTATAACGCTATACAAAGGAACAGATACTGGGACCATGCCAGGGACATATATTACAATGTTCTTCCTTAGTGGGCTTTCTAGTCAAACTAAACCCAGCAGCTCCTGAGTAAGTCGAGACCATCAGGGAAGAAGCATCCACCTCAGCTTTTAGTGACAGGTAATATTTTTGATACAAAGGCCAAGGGTAGAAAAAAGTAAAAATGTCTCTTCTAGAAAATGATTGGAAAAGTCAGTGCAAGATCTGGGGAAAATCTGTTTTAAAAAATCTCGTATCAGTTTGGTTTTACCCACTCA